AAAATATATTCATTCTGATACTTGCTTCAGGACTATTTCTGATATCACCTTGGTCTATTTGCAGAAAATAGATAAAATCATGCTTCTTTGTAACTGTAAACAGTTATCTGTCTGTTAATTTTAGACAGATAACAGAGCAGTAAGAGAAGGAGCCAGGGGAAAAGATTGAATTTTATAAAATTATGAATAACGTGGAGAGAGCAGCTAAAGATATTTTATAAAACATGATAAGCTTGCTTAATTTTAACCTTGATTGTGTCTCTCTCTGTGGGTATTTTGGCATATTGTGTGAACACGAATTTGGTCCTTCACTATATTAAGCAATCCCAGAAAATATATTAATTAAATATCTCAGCAATATGTTTTCTGTGAGATCAATCAACATATGACAGATTTTGGTTCCATTAAGTTACATTGCGGCTTCAAAATAAACATGGCTATAATTACAGAAAATTAATATTGACATGGTTGTTTTTCTTAAAAGAAATAGCAGCTATTTCAAATTGCAGATGAGAATGGATTTAACTATTTCGCACCCAACTGGATTTTCTATGCCGATCATTCTAGCTGCTCCAGATAGTCCTCAACTTATGACCAGTTGCTTAGCAATCATTCAAAGTTACAATGGACCCCTAAAAAGCTATTTACAACCGTTTCGAGTTCTGATGTATGCTCCCCTCCAGTGGACACGTGACTGCATTCTGGGTGCTTGGCAGCCAAACTGCATTTATGGGCATTTGCAGTGTCCCATAATCAAGTGACTGCAATTTACTGCAACTGTCCCATGGTGAACAGTGGTTCGCTTAATAACCTCAATGTTTGTTTTACAACCACCATAGCTGCTTAACAACTGCTGCAAAAAAAGTTATTAGATAAGGTCTGGTCACGTGGTGATCTGCTTTACAATGGTCACAATTTATGACTAAATTATGGGCTCAGTTATGTTATAAGTCAAGGAATGCTTGTATTTGCTTTGGAAAGAAACCACCCCCTGACCCTACAGGTCCTTTGCACTTGATGCAAATAGCACCCTCACGGGGTGAGTATGCATCAGAATTACACATTTAGTGCTGACAAAGGACTCATTATCTTCTCTTCCTTGCACTTTTCTAAGCCAGATCATCTCATCCCATTCCAAGACTGTTTAATACTTCAAAGACGCCCACAGGTCTTATTTGTACTACTATTACTTCATCATTTGGGTACCAACACATTTTTAGAAATGCATTAAATGGAGAATACAGACTAACATACATACTGGTTTAACATCTGTGCCCTTGCTCCCAATAAAGTGAAAGCAGGTAGGGAGTGAAGTATTTTCAGAAGAAAGTGACACAAGAAATGTTAACGCCACGATAAGAGTGATAAAAAAGCAAATTTCTAATTTTTAGAGGCTTAAAATACATATAATGTCAATGTTCACCCATCGTGCAGACCTCATTAGCTGCCGTGTGTGCATGTTGTCAGGCAACGAGGAAAAATGTTTTTGAACTGAGTTTGTGGTAGCCTAAGATACAGCCTTCATCAACTAGAAAAATCCAGATTGCCTCAATTTAGGATGTAGTTCTGGACAAAGACCATGTGAATTGAACTGAAGGATGCTGCAATGACTGTGGCTGAAGTATTAATTTTATTTACCGCTGGATTTATTTAGAGTCCCTGCCTCAGCATATATTCTCCTGATATGGTCCACAATAGAATAAAAATAATTTTAAAAACCAAAATTCATCCTGCATAAAATCATTAGCAAAACAAAGTAAACAGCAGATGAAACATAGTTGGTATACTGGTATACTGGAATCACACCTCCTCCCCCATTTGACAGATGCAGTGTAATGTATCTATCTAGACCCGTCTCAGTCGGGCTTCAGGCCTGGGTACAGCACGGAAACGGCATTGGTCACACTGGTTAATGATCTCTGGAGGGCCCGGGACAGGGGTTATTCCTCTGTCCTAGTGCTTCTGGACCTCTCAGCGGCTTTTGATACCGTTGACCACGGTATCATGCTGCGGCGCCTGGTGGAGTTGGGAGTGGGAGGTA